CATTCATTGGCACAAGGGCGAATTAAACGACTATTAATTTTTTAATACATCCGTATTATCGAAATATTATCATCATTATTAGACAAAATATGTCGATAATACATTTTATACGGAGAATAATTACTGTCTCAATTTTATTTGTATCTTCAATATTTTCTCCTTCTTTTCATTTTTCTCTTGCGCATTTTTTTTCTATTTGATTCTTTACGCAGACAGCTTCTCTTAGTAAACATCGTTATAGAATTCATTATTAGAATATCGTAATAGTAACTCGCCCGCGAGCTTAGGTTAACAATATTTCTTGTTTATTCCTCCTCTCTTTCTTTTTCTCCTTCTTTCTGTTTTACTTTCCCTTTATCATTTAAATTATCCTTGAAGTCACCTGTCAGATAAATATATGTTATATATTATGTATATATATATTTATATTCATCAGTGTATGTTAGAATTTAATTCATATTTGTAGTATATATATGCATACATATTTTGAAATTCATTATTTATTTCTCTCTTTAACTTTGTTATCATCTCATTTAGATTTTTATAATATACTTATTTCATTTCCCGTTAACGCGAGGATAGAAGTCAGTTCAAATTCGATCACGTTTTTATTCTTAATGATTTTTATCTTGTTACGTTAGTTAGACGCAACTGTAAACTTATATCTTTGATGAATATTAATGATTCTTGATCGTTTTTTTTTTTGTTATTTTTTATTTTCAACAGATTCTACGAGAAGATAAACGACGCAATCGGGTTTGAGGTGGGGTTGGGGCGAGGTTCATTAGATATACGAATAATCATTTGTTATACGTTATTATTAACAGATAATTTGAAAAACGAGGACTTGGTTGGATAAGATATTATTCTTTTTTTTTCTTTTTCTCCCTCTCTCTCTCTCTCTCTCTCTTCCTGCTTCTTCACTCTTCGGAAGAGAAAAAAAGATTATACGACAAACATTATACTCGGTTGTACCCCCGTAATTGACAATGGTCATTGAATATATGAGAAGGACACGTAGCGCGAATAAACAATGAATTGACAATTAAGGACGGTGTTGCCATAATGCAACCCTCTTGGCCCATTTGAGATATCAAAGTTTCAAAGTTACTATAACCCTTTTTTTTTCTTTTTCATCATTGCTCTTCCTTTCTGTCTCTCTCTTTCTTTCTTTCTTTTATTTTTGTTCAATTTGTTTTTTTGTTCATATCAATCACAGTAAAATCACAAGAGTACTCGTATCCCGTTTATCGTAAAACTGATGAAAAACCATATAATTCTATTTTTTTTCTGGTATCACGAAGGCTCTCGGCTTCGGTCGAGAGGTTTTTACTACCAACGTACCAACAAACAACTAGTTCAAAATAAATTGTTCATTAGATTTATTAACCGTCTATAATTCCCTTTGAGACTTATATATTAATAACATATTTTTGGACAAGAATATTGATAATTAAGTTAATTGAAATGTATTTCCCTCTGATCAATGAAAATTATGTAATTTTTCTAATTTTTCTTTTCAAAAATATATTAACGTTATTTTCATAATAATCAAGTCAAATTATCTCAAATTGGATTTATACTTATGAACGTATGAATATATAGATTATACTAATTGGGATAAGAATATTTTTGTGACTCACTGTACATACGAACGTATAAATATATTAATCCCATTCCACGAATCCAATTTGATTTTCATTAATCATCCTAACCGATAAAAAAAAAGCATTAATATTAAAGCGAACATTGAAAAATAAACTTTCAAGTATAACATTTGAATAATTATTCCGTTTCGAAATTTTTCAATCGCGTGTATTCTAATTCGCTTTTCTTTTTACGTTCGTTAAATCTTTCTCGCGATTATATTATTCATTAGATTAATATAATTTTTAATTAATTCTTTTCTTCGTTAAAATCTTAGGATACTTGAAACATTAGATATAGAGAGACGATCTAACTATATCATTTGAAACTATCCATTAGAAATTGTATCGATCGTTATTGATTTGATTGTCCGGCTAGATTTACAAATTTTCCATCATCTTCTTCGTTTTCTTTTTTTTTTGTTTTTTCTTTTTTTCCATTATTTTTTTTTCATCATTTTTTTTTTGCCAATTTCGTTAGAAAACATTGGCCCGCGGTTTGTTCGGCCTTATCAAGAAGAGGGGGTTAGAGACAATATTTCTTTAAACTAGGAAAGTGACAAATAAATATGTAGGTCAGGCACAGATAGTGTTTGATAATTGATCATATATAGTCTATACATTTACTTTACGCAACACTCATTCTCTTTCTCTCTCTCTCTCTCTCTCTCTCTTGTATATTTATTGATTTTCTTTTTTTGTATTTTTTAATTAACTCACGTCTTCAACACATTTGTTCTTTCTGTTTAATCGTTCCGAAATTTGCCGACAGATTATAAAAGTTTATCCTTCCACTTCTTCGTCATTTTCAACTTTCGTAAATTTGTTTAGGATTACAAGTTCGTACATTTATTTAAAAGGAAGTTTGCACATTTATAGTTCGAAAGAAGAGATAGACAAGACGATTGACGGATCGATATATTTTAGAACGAATATATATTTATATATTATTTAATACACAAATTATTTCCTAACGTGATCAACTTCAGAAATGAACAGGGGATACGAAAATCAATGAAAGAAAATTCATACAAACGTCTGTGTCCAATTTGATTTTGTTTCAAAATTATAGACACTTTTGTGTTCTTATAATCTACGGTAGTTTATTTATATAAAAAGTACACGAAATGATTTGCATCTAAGCTTGCCGTTATTGTATCATCGAATTGCACAATCTTGCAGTCTTTCCAAAATTTCAGATACCCGTTGAATCCGTTGACAATCTTTTTGCATATTCGTTTGAAGTTGGCATAGAAATACTGACAATGAATCTCGAATACGCAATTATTTTCAAATGGATTCAAAAATCAATATCCAAAATATAATTATTACGCATTTGTAACTTTGAACGTACGAACAGAATAGAAAATAATTAGTAGTACTTCCAGTTAATGAACTCTGAGCATCGGAACTGAAAGAATTAAATTGAATTAACAAAATGCGTGACTCAAAGAGAGCAAGAAATAAATAATAGCGAGTTTTAAAACACTGTTTGAAAATGCAAACACACTATCGAGGATTATTAAAATACAAAAGTGTTTAAAACTTTGAAATAAACTCAAATAGGATACATTTTTATATGAACCTTTGTTCGTTGTTTTCGAGAACTTTTGTTCATTTCTGAAGCAACTGTCACATATTACGAAACCTTCTGTATAAATATTTTCTTGTTTTTTTTCTACTCTTCAGCAATTATTCCTGATGGAAACAGACGATTTAGATTTGTAAGAATCATTTGGTTTTCTAAAGTCAACTCTTTGATATTCGTTTGATTTTCATTTTGATTTTTATTTGATCTATTTAGCGCAATCGAAAAAATGAACAAACCAAAGTGTTTTGTAAGGAACAATTAAGCGAGTTAACGCTAAACGATCTTTCGAGATCGTTTGAATCCGAGGTTCTAATTTGCCCCGTTTAAAAAATAAACCTACTTTAATTATTAAAAAAAAAAAAAAAAAAAAAAAGACAAAAAACAAAACAAATAAAATAATTAAAAAAGTCTACAAAATATCTTAAAATTATATTCGAATTTTCTCTTTCACTTTCACTCACTTTCACTCTCTTTCACTCTATCTCTCTCCTTCGAAAACGATAACGTAAGACTAGAGTTCAACAATACATGCGGTTTCTAATCGCTTCTCGGACACGCCGATATTATCTGATAGTATAAAAATATAAACATTTAAAGAAAACAAACGGCAGGAAGAAAAAAAAAAGTTCAATTAAAATCGTATAGAAGATTAAAAAATGCGCGTGTTTTTCGTCATTTCATTCGGTTTCCTTCTTTTCGAATTCGTTTCCTATTGTTTTTTCCGAGCCAGTCGATCATTCGTCCGATCAAATTATCAGAAAGACTATTAGGCTGGGTCTTTCTCATATTACGTTTTTTTTTTTTTTTTCAATTAATATCTTAATTATTTCTTATCTTCTTCACATACATAATTTTTTATGTTTACTTCATCACACA